TGATTTCCAAAGTGGCTGTATGAGTTTGCACTCCCACCAGAAATGGCAGAGTATTCCCCTTTCTGCACATCCTCTCCAGCATAAAGTGTCATTGGTGTTTTTTATTTTAGCCATTCTGACAGGAGCAAGATACTATCTGAGTTGTTTTGATTTGCATTTCCCTGATGAATTGGAACACTTTCTTAAGTGTCATTCATTCACTTTAGATTTCTCTATTTAGTTTTGTATCCCACTTTTTAACTGGATTATTTGGTGTTTTGGTGACTAGCTTCTTGAGTTCTTTGTATATTTTGGAAATCAGTCCTCTGTCAGATGTGGGGTTGGTGAATATCTTTTCCCATTCTGTGGGCTGCCATTTTGCCTTACAGAAGCTTCTCAGTTTCAGGAGGTCCCATTTGTTACTTGTCTATCTCAGTGTCTGTGCTACTGGTGTTATGTTCAGGAAGCAGTCTCCTGTACCAATTCATTCAAGAGTACGTCCCACTTTCTCTTCAAAGAGGTTCAGTGTAGCTGGATTTATGGTGAGGTCTATGATCCATTTGGACTTTTTTGTGTATGGTGATAGACATGGATCTAGCTGCAGTCTTCTACACGCCAGCATCCAGTTATGTCAGCACCATTTGTTGAAGATGCTTTCTTTATTCCATTGTATACTTTTAGTTTCTTTGTCAAAAATCAGGTGTTCATAGATGTGTGGATTAATATCAGAGTTTTCAATTGGATTCCACTGGTCTACCTGTCTGTTTTGTGGCAATACCAAGCTGTTTTTGTTGCGATAGCTCTATAGTAGAGCTTGAAGTCCAGAATGGTGATACATCCAGAAGTTCCTTTATTGTACAGTGTTGTTTTGGCTATCCTGGGTTTTTTTTCATATAAAGTTGAGTATTCTTCTTTCAAGGTCTGTGAAGAATTGTGCTGAGATTTTGATGGGGATTGCATTGAATCTTTAGATTACTTTTGGTAAGATTGCCATTTTTACTATCCAAGAGCAGGGGAGATCTTTCTATTTTATGATATCTTCTTTAATTTCTTTCTTTAGAAGCTGAAGATTTTTGTCATACAGGTCTTTCACTTGTTTTGTTAGAGTTACCTCTATTTTTGTTTTTTGTTTGTTTTTGTTTGTGAAGAAGAGTCTCACTGTGTATCCATGGCTTCCTAGCAGTATTTGTATATATAACTTTCTGGCCTGGATATCATACCACTCTTTCTGTATAAGCCTACATGTGCTTTTGTGGAAGGAGTACACTATACCACACCCACCATGGTACTAAACCTTTAGCAATTGGGTAAACTCTATACTTCAGGAGTTTTTCCTCTCAGTGGTGGTCAGTCTCCATGTTTTGAAGTTCACACTGAGTAGTTTTTCAGCAGTGAACCATGTGACTCAGTATATTATTTCAAGTGTATCCTGCATAATGTGTCTACTTTGAGTACTTTGTAATATTGTAGTTTTAATAAGGGAAGGTATATGCTAATATTGGCTGGAGCTTTGGCCCAGTTGCCTCAATGAATGCTTTGCATGTCCAGGACCCAGAGTTTCTTAGCTCTACTTAAAATGTACCAGGATGGTTAAGTACTATTAATCCTGGTCCTTAAGAAATAGAAGAAGGAAGAACCTAAGTTCAAGGCCTTTCTTTGCTTTAGAGTGAATTTCAGGCTAGGCTAGACTAGAGATCTTTTCTGGAAAAAAAAGAAAACATAACAATACAGAGAAGACAGGTCTTTGGTGAGGAAGGCATGAACAAGTATGGTGCACTTTCAGTGCTCCTGTCCATGGGTAACCAACACAAATCTGACTCTGCTACCACTTAGCAGACACCACAGAACACTTCGGCAGTATATGTGCTTTTCCTTGAGGAGGTTTAGTTTCCATGCTTATATGTATATACATAGATGCATACGTACTTGTATATTCATGTATTTAACTGAAAAATTTCAGAGGGAGTCAAGTATATAGCATCCTAGTGAAAACCACATAGAAGTTTGGGAGTTATAAACTTTACCGTGCTCATATGACTCTAAGAGAGATTTTCATGCTGCTTATTAGATACAACTCCAATGTAACACAGTCATGTTGTTCTTCTTTTTTGCATTGTCAAGTTGACATGAATTTATGGCTTAACTACACCATAAATGTAATGCATGCTGGAATGTACAGTGCACTCAATGAATTTCCCAAGACACCACTGTGACTCTGAAAACAGTGTCTGGAGGATGGTGGTGCCATAGAATGTACAAAACTGAACCATTACTGATTTCCTATGTTTTTTATGGCACGAAGCTAACATAACCCTGTTGTGAATGCATTCCCAGAGTCCAATACCTTAAGACAAATGTGTTGGAGGTGCCCTGTTGCTCGTAAAGCTTCTAAGCAACCTGAAGTCCAAGCTGCAGCTTCCATGGAAAGATCACAAAGTGAAATGGAAGGTACTGTCAAAGTGCAACAATTTGATTGTATTGTTTCATAATTATAGATCATATTTGGTTTTTTTGGTTTTTCGAGACAGGGTTTCTCTGTGGCTTTGGAGGCTGTCCTGGAACTAGCTCTTGTAGACCAGGCTGGTCTCGAACTCACAGAGATCCACCTGCCTCTGCCTCCCGAGTGCTGGGATTAAAGGCGTGTACCACCAACGCCCGGTTAATAGATCATATTGTATGATATATGAAAATCTATGAATGAATTAGCAGTATTTTCTTATGTAGATACTATTAATTTGCTGTCTCTGTCATTGTCACTTCACCTGGTGCAGACAGGAATAGGTGAACCACCCTCTCTAATACTTTCTCCCAGAAACCTTCAATGTATATTAACTGAGTGTAAGCATTCTCAAGATTGACATGGTAATTGTCAAAACTGTCAAGAATTAGGGCAATATTTGAAACAGATATCAGCATTTCTGGACTGTCCCAAGTGGAGTGGGTCCCTGGAGTAGTGTGTCACACCCTGTGCTTATGGGAAAGACCCGTAGGGACAAGGAAATGGCACAAGGTTTCTGTGCTTTTCCTCCTCCTTCAAAGGCACCATGGTAGTCTTGTCATGTTGTCAGGCTTAAGTACTCTTTGCTTCTGGCTCTGTCATTTGAAGGCAGACTTTTAACACTTGATGCTTTTCAGCATTTGTCACTACCATAGTTTCAATTGTGCTTAGTAGCTCTCCATGGAATTTGTGCCTAAGGTACTTTCCCAGTTTGTGTGATGAAATAGTATGACCAAAACATCCCAAGGAGGAGTGTTCATTTTGTCATGCTGTCATGAGTGTGGTGTGCATGCTTGCTGAGAACCCATAGATCCAGGAGCCTGAGACACAAGTCCAATGCAACAAAAATAAGGAAAAGGAGGGCTTATGCTCTGCTCACCTTCTCCTTATATAGTTGTGGATCTCAGCCCCAGGAACAATACCTCTGACAGTGGGACAGTTTTCTTCCTCAGTTAACCCTGTCAAGATAATTTCCTACTGCTGTGACCCAGGGATCTGGCCCTGATAATCTTGACTTTTGAGATTAACCATCACAGTACCCTGAAAAGGTAGTGATCAGTTTGAGGTTTCAATCTATGATAAACCCAGTCTTTCTGATGGAAGACAACCTCCTCTGTGTACTCAAATATACATATAAATAAAGGTCTTACAAAGTGGTCCTAGAGATACAGAATAAGCAGATACTTTCCCTAGGTCCCTTGGAACTTTTGTAGTAGTGCCTTCTTGGTCATCTGTCCATTTTGCCATTTTGTCCTTCTTTATAGGACATCCCCAAAGTAAACTGTTAAATAGCTAACAGGGTTCTCTATTCTGGCTTCATTGCAACACTTGCAATGTCCTCACAATTAAGGATATAATATGTGTCTTCTGGTTCTTTTCAATTTATGCTCCTTATATTGGACTGCATGCTAAGTGATTGAGTCAAGAAAGGTTATTCATCTTGGATCCTTTGACTTAATGGATAAGAAAGAGTCTGCTCATCCTTAGTGCCTTTTGAGGCACCTTTGATTCACCCCCCAAGATGCAAAGGCTGGGTTTGAGAGTTCTCCTAACTGAGTTTATTCTCAGGATAAAGAACATGGATTTATGGAGATTGGCTCTCCTGGTACCCATCTGGTCTTAAGCTGTTTGTCCTCTGTGGTGTCAGTATTTGAATGTCTCACTCTTGGTATGGTCAGACCTGTCTCATCATTTTTGCTACATGAGGTTATAATCTAAGAATCTCTTTCCTCACAGGGGCTTCATTATTGCTTCTTGAGTAGGTTCATAGCTGAGGCTCATCAGAAGTATGTCTGCTTCTCCTGGGTTCTCTCATCTTGCAAGTGGGTTTGGAAGTAATCATAGGCCTGTAGGCTTAATGTACAGTGTTTATTGCTTGTAAAGTCAGGCTCCTGCTTATGAGCCATATGTGGCAGAGACACAGGATTCCACTTCTAGCCCCTCCCTTTCAATCTCCCTTATTGCCTCATGCCCCTATCCCTCTCTAACCACTTTCCTCTTTCATAATCACATGTTGACTCAGGGCTATAGGTCTGGAAAGCTGGAGGCCTATGTGATCTCTCTAACTGTTATCTTACTGTTGATGCTGCATACTGGAGCACATTGTCCATGCAATGTGGCCTAAACCCTAAGCATGTCTGCAGCCTCAGTCCTTGATGTACTAGACCTTTTTGTATTCACTGAATGTCTTTCCATCACAAAACTCATGAGACTGACAAGACCACTGAAGGGAACTGAACAGAATCCTTCTCGGGGCCAATATGCCTGGAAAGACAGTTGAATGTCAGTAGGACATCTGGATCAGACCTTTGTTACATGTACAAAGGTACATCCTCATTTTTCTCCAAGTCTTCCTTCTGCCTTAGTTTGCTTTATGGGAAGGCAGTCTAGCAGTGACAGACTATCTTGTTCATTAGGTATGGTTACACGTACCAAGTAAATGCACTTTACCCGCATCAAATAAAGTCCAGTGTAAATAGTTAAGTAGTCCTATGAGCTGACTGTCACTTTCTGTCCCCCTAGTGTCCCCTGAACCTTCCAGCAATGCAGTCTCACCAGTGGACCAGCAAAAGCCACAAGGGAAGATGCAGAAGGTAAGAGGAACTTCCTTTCCCTGAGGTAGACAATGGGTATCACATTTGAATCATTAAACTGATCATGTTTTTGTTGGTGGTAGTGGTGTTGGTAGTTTCTTTCTTTGGTTGGTTTTTTATTTGTTTTTAATGCGTGAGAAATAGTCTACATGTGTAGATTTGCACCATGTGTGAACTTGGTACCCAGGAGGACAGAAGTACCTTGTGGGAGCTGGCAATCAAATCCCAGTATGACCATATAAGTCTGTATGAGGCAAATGCCCTGGAACTGAAGTTTCAGATGAGCAGCCACGTGGGTGCTGGGAATTAAACCTGGGTCCTCTAGAAGAGCATCCAGTACTCTTAACATCTGAGTCATATCTCCAGTCTGGTACATCATGTTTTAGAAGTCCTCATGTTGCTGTACACACTAAGCTACTGGCACATCAAACTTTGGATCACATTCTCAAATTACTTCTACCATAGGCCCTAGAAACAGAAAATATCTTAGTGAAAAATACAAGTTTTTATAGAGGATATGTGATGTAGGTTAGGGACCCTTCAGTAGAGGCCAGATGGGTTTTCCTGATCTGCCCTTGAGTTGGAAAAAATGTGAAAGGTACTAATCTTTAGCATGAAGGACAGACCCTCAGATCTTCTGTTATATCATCAAATAAGGAGTCCATTAATACAGGCTCCACATGACTGCTCTTTTCTATCCTAATTATGTCAACTATGGAAGGACCAAAGACCTTTACAGACATTATTCAATATGATCTAAATTTTATTTTTTCCTTTCAATTACAGGTGATATCTAAAAAACGCACATGTGGTATGTACTGTAGACTCACTCTGTAAGACACATTTTATGTGGAAGTAGTATGAATACTGGTTGTCTTTTGTGTGATGGTTCACTATGATCTAACATACTGAGAATTATGTGTTTTGATACTTTTGTTTGGTTTTTAAAGAAAGTGATGTCCCAACTAACAAATCATGGCCATGTGTCTATGGTTGTCATGTTCAATTGTGATTCCTCTAGTTATGTGGGGGATTTGTTCACCAAGTCATGTCTAAATTTTTTCCCAAACAGAAACACCCCAACTATCCAACTAAATTTCTAGTGATAAGTTGGTAAATTGAAAAATAGAATACAGATTATCTACAAAAATGTGTTCAAACTTCACCACAGCCAGCAGGGTTGGTTACATGCTTGTGTTCCTTCATATATGAATGAACCAGAGCATAGAGACAGTCATAAGGCTCCTTAGCTATGCATCTCAAGAACCACTTGTTATCCCATCAAGGGTATCATAATCCCTGTGGGAAAGTTCTACTTTATTTCATCTGCCTGCAACAAGGCAAATCAATAGGGATCCCTAACACTACAATGACTGCTGTAGTGGTTAGAAGTCCTAGGTAGTTTCATTCAGCATGCAGCATATAGTCACAGTTTTGAAAGGTAGAGAAGTATCCATACTTCTTTTCAGGTGACAGAGCATGGAAATGAAATACGGTATATGGGAAAGTTGGGTGGATATGTCCCAACTGGGTTAATCATAGACATGATTCATTCCAGTAAGATACAGAAGAAAAAACATTAGCAGATTAGACAGCATCAGCATGTACACAAAGAGCCACAAAATTTAAGTACAGTGTCCACTGAGAACCCTAGTCATGTATTTAATGATCTGTGCCAGATCATTATTCAAGAAGTATATTAAATTTTTATTTCTTTTTAGGTTGCTAATATGATTTTATTAATTTTGATAAATTTATGTACTGTATATTGCTTATTTATCTCTCGTGACTCTTACAAATGGACTCTCCCCTTTTACCATTTCCCAAATTTGTATCTTTAAAAAATAACCTTCTAGTCCATTTTATGCTAAACATATACTCAAACATGTAAGGTCATCCACTAGCATGGGGTTGACCTTCCAGGGACAACACTTTTAATTCAAACAGTCCCTCAAATAGGAGCCATAAATTACCAGTAGCTTCTCAGTTAGGGATGAGAACAGCTTCCAAACCTCTCTTCCCTACAAGCCAGTATTGACCTCTTTGATCTTGTACAGGTCTTCTGCAAGCAGCCATCAATATACTTTTAAAGGAGAGCTAGATTCTGAGCAGCAGGGCTACTTCCTGCCATGGGTAGTTAGACTCCATGTTGCCTATTACATTTTTGCTCTTGGTAGATCTACATAGTCAGCAGGGAAGAGTGTCACTGGGTATCATTCTGTCCACATTAGTGTGTCTGCATGTTCAGGCTTCACCAGTGAGCTGATGTGTTAAGTGGAGCTATTATGGGGATTGGCTAAGTACATACCTATCATGTCATAAAAACCTGAGTTTCGTCCCAAGTACTCCATAGAATGTACTCATGACCACACAATCTTTGGTTTAGATTGGTGGATGCAGGAAAGCCATGAGTTCAAGACCAGCCCTTTTTAAATAGTGGATTTTAGCCCAGCCTAGGCTAGAGGCCTTTTTCACCAACTAAAGGAAACAAATAACCATTGAAAAACCAAAAAATAATGAAATGAAATAGAAGAGGCCCCCTATAAAGATCTGTTGGTGGAAGGAGAGGGTATACAAACTGGCTTTTTCTTAGCAAGATGACCAAATTCCAGAGGATAGCCCATGCCCATGGATATATGATCAGCACAAATTGATCTTGGTGGGTTTTTTAAGGGAAAATAAAAAGAACACAAAGCTGATAATGAGTGGAGTGACATGAATGGAGCCAAGAGAGTGAGGGTGATGAGTGGTGATGAATGTGGTTAAAATACGTTTTATGGAATTCTCAAAGAATTAAGTATTTTTAAATTTTTGACGAGGAAACAGTGAGCAGGTATGGTGCACTTGTGTGGCCACAACCTTTCTCTTATTTATTGGCACCTAGAGAGAGAGTCATTACATCACAAAGCACTAAATCCCTTTACATATCAGTTTATGTTGAGTGTTTATACAGAGTTGGCCAATTTAAGAGAACTTTTTTTGTCCAACCTTAATGTGACAATTTCATTTAGAATAACTTGGAGTCTAGTCATCTTGGAAGACACACAAGCATAAGTCACCTCTCAGTGTGGGTACTTGATGATCAGAATCACTTTCTGGTAGCACCTGGCAGGATGAAGATGCTGGAGAAAGGCTGTGTTTACTAATTCAGGGACCGTCTACAACTTATTTTGGAGGAAATGCATAATTTGAGTCAGAGATCAAAGTCAGAGCATCTTTCTTTTCAGTTATTTATGTCAAGGAATTTGGTCAGAACATCATGGTCATAACTAATATGGTACCCAAAGTTAAAAAGTTAGAAGAATACACAGATCCCTATCTTCCAAATTCATACCACATGTTCTGCATGAGCTGTAAAATATCCTGGAAAAGCAAACAATGAAAAGTAAATAACCATTGGTCACTGTCCTGTGGAAAACTAAGCACTTGCTCAGGATTCAGTCATTCCTGTCTAGTTGACTTGTTTTCAAATTTCCCAAACATAGGACACTTGTGCAGTCCATGTACTTTTCCTTATGCTTTAACATTATATATTTTTGTTTTACACTGATAAGACTCCTGGGGGTCTTTATGAAAGTTTTGGTTCACTTGTGCAAAGATGTGATCACAGGGGGATTGCATGGATTTAGCTATGTCATAATGCTATAAATGGGATTTAAATGCTGCCTATAAGACACCACACCAACATAGTCATGCTGTTCTTCTTTCTCTGTTGTCATGTCTGTATTAATTTAGACTTTATCTACAACATCATGTGATCCATAATAGATTTTGCCAACATTGTCATGTAATGCATAATTAATTGGACACTGAACTTAGTGACCTTCTTGAAATACAATTCTAATTATAGTGACTTATCTGAAAATACATGAGGAGATCAAATGTACAAACACAACTACTAACAGTTTCCTCTGTTTGTCTGCCATGAAGTTGACATAACTCTTCCTGTTGTGAATTCATTCCCAGTTTCAGCCATCTTAAAGGAAATTTCTCAAAAGCAAGCTGCAGTTCCCCTTAATGAGGACAAACCTCAAGCCATCGCTGGTACCTCCAGAGAAATATCACACATTAAAACAGAAGGTACTGAGGGAATTCAGTAATTCTGTCCAGTTATGTGTAACAGATGCCCTTTATGCTGTGTACTATATGTAAATCTATGGAGATGTTTTGCTGTGGTTTTTAATATGTAGATACTATTCATTTGTCTAGTTTTTCAGTAGAAATACACCACAAAATTTAAATATGCAGTTAAAGGTCACCTTTGCCTTTCATTAAGTAATGGTAAACTTTACGAAAGGTGAGACTTACCTTGTATGAGCAAGTATGGCTTCACCTTGGGTAGGCGTGAATGACTGAGTCACCCTCTCAATCACTTTGTCCCAGGCATAGATGATACAGATGTGGAAAGTCTCATGAGTGATCTGTTAATGTCCAAAGTCTCAAAAGTGAGGATGAAGTTTGAATTAGATAAAGGCATTCCTACTCAGGTCCCTTGAAAAGAGGGCTCTAAGGGTGGTCATCTTAGACCTTGTGCTTGGAAGGCTGAGGGAGTGGGAAAGATGAGTAAGGACACAGAAACATGAGGTTCCTGAGCTTTTCCTCTTTCAAGTGCATAATGGTTAATAGTGGCAGGGTTGAGTGTTATTTAGACTGTATTTCCCAGAACACATACCATTCTTTCTCTGCCACACCCAATGTCCAAACGTTTGACTATTGTTATAGGTCTCCTTGGAAGTTTGTTAGGATTACTTTCCCAGATGCAGGGAACAGGAAAGGTTTACTTTGCCATGGAATTTGAGTTTGGAGTCCATAACTGGGAAGCAATACACTTGTATTTCTGTTGCTTGCTGGCTGTCATTCTATCCCCAGCTTCTGTGAGAGACCCTGTGTGAAAGAAAGGAAAAGGGTCATAGATCATGTTATGCCATGCCCTCTTTTAGTGCTCATGTTCTAGTTGACAGGCACTTAAACACACACACACACACACACACACACACACACACACACACACACACACACACATGACAAAATTACCTGAAATACAATTTACACTACTGCAACCATCTTGTAACCAACTTCTATTACTGTTGCAATAAGGTCAAGTATTTCAAACATACTGTAACATCCTTGGGATTCTTCTTTTATTATTATTACTTCAAATTAGGAACAAGCTTGCTTCAGATGTCAATCCCTTCTCCCTCTCCCTCTCCTCCCCCCCAACATCCCACCTGCCCCCTCAACTCCCCAGGCAGGGTAAGGCCCTCAAAAGGGGCTTCCCAAAGTCTACCACATCATCCTGGGCCAGGCCTAGGCCCTTCCCCATGTGTCCAGGTCAAGAGAGCATCCCTTCACATGGGATGGGCTTTCAAATCCCCTTTTTTAAGACCTTACATATTTAATACAGTGCATTACCCCTGTACAAATGGAAAAAATTAAGTTCAACATTTCTAGACCAATATGGCTGTTAATTTTTGTACAATGCCAACT